AATTTAGAAGCCAGCACTCACAGGGCAGAATGCCCAAGAGATGTGACCTGGACAGAGAATCCTCTGAGATCGGGAGAGGGCTGTCCTGTCTGTAGCTTAGTACTAATGAACACGTGTCGGAGGAAATACTCAAGCCTAGGGAACATCTTGTGACCTGCTTCAATGCTTCTAGTAAGGACAGGTAGAGCAATCACAGAATTCACATGGGGCTCAGAATAGTGCACAATCGCAAAAATTTCCACATGTTTAGGCCACCATGTTGAATACCCAGGATACTGCCTCAAATCAAGTTAGCCAGGGAGAACCCTAGACTACAAACTGCCCCAGTTCTACTTAACAAAGCATAAAAGACTAGAGAACAGCTTTCAAGTAGCTAGCTCTGTCTCAGTAGCTCTGTCTCAAAAATATTAAAAGGGGGCTGGGGATTTAGCTCAGCGGCAAAAGCGCCTGCCTGGCAAACGCAAGGTCGTGAGTTCGGTTCCCAGTACCGGAGAAAAACAAAAAAACAAATCAAAACAAAAAAAATATATATTAAAAGGGATACAAAGAAAGAAACAACATTCAGCCTCTACCAATTTGAAGTCCACAAGGTCTGACACCCAATAAAAAACTACAAAGCAGCAGAAAAGTGATCCATAACAAGGAGAAAACCTAACCAAATGAAACAGACCAGAAATGACTCAGATAAAAGAATCAGTAGAAAGGACACAAAAATATCTGTTCTTATATCACCTTATGTTTAAGGAAAAAAAAAAAAAAAAAAAAAAAGCTAGACTATGTAAAGACATAGTAGGACCCAAACTGTACGCCTGGAAATGATAAAGACAACATGTACAGATGAAATACATTCTAAGTATATATCTTTCTTGGTCAGGACTCCACACATTGTCTACTTTCTCCAAAATAACGGATAATTAAAATAGAGGCCACGAAGTCTTTGTTGTAAAATGTAAGTTATTTATGCCCTTACTTAGAACCTATTATTATTTCTCCTTACTATGACTTGCGCTGCCTAATTTCCCAACACAAACTAGATGAGAAGTATCCAGTTAAAAATGTGTATAGGCTACTGAAGGTAACTGTACTGAAAGTTGCCAAGAATGACAGCAAAGAAAAAAATTACAGCAGGGATGCTGACACAAAATCAAACAGCAGAAACAGGGAAAAAATAATAGTCAGATACAGTGACTCTAGGGGCAGGCAGGCCTACGCGCTTCCATTTCTGTACGATGTGGAGGGTCAAACCCAGCACCTGGCATGGCAGCCAAGTGCTCTACCTCGCCCACACCCCCAGTCATGCCTATGCACTTCAATCAGAAAGCCACTAAAAGCTCAAAGACAATGGGCAGGACATCCTTTCCCACCTAAGACGAAGACTACTAAAACTAAGACTACAGATTATTAATCCAGATTAGGATGCCATCTATATGCCCCACTTCCCTACTGGATCAGTATTAGCTAAGCTGCTACACTTGTGCTCTTACCGGCTGACTGCACACTGACCCATGTTGCACCCACCTGGTGACAGTGCCCTATAAAACATTCTGGTAGAGATGACTCTGGCAGCAACCCACTCGGGATCCCTCCTGTCTCTCAGGAGCTATTCCTATTCTCCACTCCCATTCTCCAATACACCCGTCCTACTCTTAAACAAAAGTTCTAAAAAGCTCAAAGACAAACCTTGGAATATAACATATTATTTCTCTTCTATCATATTGGGCCGGCTTTATGGTCCAAAGATCATAAGTCTATTTGTGAAATATTTACTTTCTTTTTTGGCCTTTTTGAGTCAGGGTTTCACTAAGCAATTCAGGGTGGCCTTGAACTCATTTTGTAGTCCAGGATGGCCTTAAATTGGAACTCAGTGATTCTCCTGCCTCAGCCCCTCGAGTGCTGGGATTGCAGGTGTTGTGCCATCATGCCTGGCCTATTTGTAAAATATAAGAAATGCCCTTCAAGCTGACTAAAAAATGTAACGTTAGTGAAATTAAAGGAGAACTATACAAAATATTATTGTATTTCACTCCATAATTATTACAATACAGACTCCTTTTTTTTTTTTTTTTTTTTTTTGGTATCAGGAATAGAACTCAGGACAGTGGGCTTGCCAGGCAGGTGTTGTGCTGCTGAGCTAAATCCCCAGCCCCTGGGTTCTTTTGCAAAAATCTGGACCTACATTTTTATCCAATTGAATATGTAGTCTACACTTTTCAAATTTTATTTTTAAAGGCACAGATTTTTTTTCTTTGTACATAAAACAAGTGAAAAAAAAAAAAAAACAGAAGAGTGGAACTGCACTGGCTAAAGAAAAGGTAGCGACGGATAAGCCTGTAGTGCAAGTCTGTAAATCTCAGTACTCTGGGTGGCTAAGGCAGGATGATCACAAGTTCGAGCCCAGCCTGGACAACTTACAACTTACAACAACCTTGTTTCAAAAATAAAAATAACGGCTGAGGATGTAGCTCAGGGCACATGCTCTGGGTTCGGTCCCCAGCAACACAAAAGAAAAAAAAGGGACAGCAGCACAGAATCCAACCTCATTTGACCTCTTCTTGCCTGCAATGGAGTTCTGGAGAAGTCCACAGAACACCCCCACGCTTCTACCATAGAATAGTATAAAAAGTACTGGGATTAGTATCAGAAATTACTATTACAAACAGAACAGAAGACAAAATTACTAGCTGGGCACGGTGCTGGAAGTCTCTAATTCCAGCACTCAGGAAGCTGAGGCAGGAAGATTACTGTGAGTTTTGAGGTCAGCCTGAGCTACATAGTGAACTCAAAGCCAGCCTGAACTACACAGCAAGACCCTGTCTCAAAAAAAGACAGTAAATTAGGGGGAAAAAAATCACTTCTACTGCAACCACCAATTGATTCAACACGGATTACCAATGACCACTAATACCAAAGAGTGACAGATTTGGGGAAAACAGGATAGATGCAATGTACCCAAGTATCACTCTATGGATTTCTTCTAGGTATGGAAGGAGATGATGAGGTTCTTTTTGCAAGCAACAGGTATGGGGATTATCACCACCTTAACCAAGTGCTGTAGCTTGGATGCTGACTGTCCCTCAAAGGCCTGGTCCAGGGTGGCACTCTTGGGAGGTAGTGCAATCCTTAGGAGGGGAGCTGGGGGTGAGCACTCAAAGGGTATCATATGACACTAGGCCCTTTCTCTTTTCCTTTTGCTTCCTGGGTAGGAGGTAAACAGCTGCTTCAACACAGGACCAAAGCATGGGGCCAGTTGCTCATGGACTGGAACCTCTAAAACCATTAACCAAAATAAACCTTTCTGAGCTAATCGTCTCAACAATTTTGTTACAGGGCTGGGGATATAGCCCAGTGGTATAAGCACCTGCCTGGCAAGCACAAGGCCCTGAGTTCAATTCCTGGTACCACCACAAAAAAAAAAAAAAAAAAAAAAAAAGCACAACAACAACAAAGAATTTTGTTACACTGATGGAAAGCTAACCAAATGATCCAACAGTTGATGGCATTAATATTGGACACCTGAAATACCTCTTTATGTGACACAAGAAGTATCCATCTCTTATAATTTTCTTGCTAAAAATGTTTACTTTGATTTTGCATGAGGAAAAAAAAAAACAGATGTTTACAAAATATGGGAGAGACACTCTAGAAGGAACCTAGCCAGGATTCTTCATCAAAAAGTCAATGCCGTAAAAGGGTAAGAGACTTGTTCTGGATTTAGAGAAGAAACACTGCAATCAAAATGAAATGGATGAATTTTAACGGAATCTTCTGTCAAAAGTAAAACAGGTATAAAGGAAAATTTTTTAAACTAGGAAAATCTGAATATGGAGTATCTACTGTATCAGGCGATATAGTACTTACTATTTTAGCTGTGATACTGACATTATAATAATATACATGACCTTATTCTTAAAAAGAGATTCCTACGCTAATTGTGTCATGTCTAAAATTACAAATGGTTTGGAAAAAAAAAAAAGCAGTGTGTGTGCGTGTATGTGTGTGTGTGTGTGTGTGTACATATAGCAAAACTGTTAAAAGAGAGATAGGCAAATGTAGTACAATCTGACTGGTAAATCTAGATAAAAGGTATGTAGGCAATTAATTTTTTTAGACTTTCTTTTTGTGAGTATTTTCAAAATAACGGAGTGGAAAATGTTATGGTTTGAGTTTACTCCCCAAGGTATTAGAAGCTTGGGTTCTCAGTATAGTGACGTCAAGAATGGGGTATGATGAGGGGCCCTTGTGTTACTGAGGGCAGCTTTTGGAAAGGATTACAGGAGTTCTCATGGGACTCTTAAGCTCCTGCCAGACTGAGCCCAACCACTAAACTGTTCTCCGGCTTTGCTCTGTGATTTCTTGTTCCTGCCCTCACTCCATCACGATATGCTCTGCCATGACGTGCTGCAGCCAAGAGGCCCTCACCAGGGCTGAGTTGAAGCCTTTGAACCTCCGGAACTGTGACCTAAACAGACTTCTTTTCAAAATAAAGCCAGCCTGACTCGGGTTTCTCATCGTAATAACAGAAAGTAAGTAACAAAGAAGGGAAAAATCAGTAACTTGCCTTCAACACACAGAGAAGGGTGTATATTATACAGAGTAAAAGTCACCTTGTAATTAAATGCTCAAAAATAAACAATGCACACACAACTTTGACTATTAACTCCAACTAGCCATTCTTTTTTCTTTTTTTTTTTTTCAACTAGCCATTTTCAAACAGCACTTTTTTTTTTTTTTGGTAGCGGGAATTGAACTCAGGACCTTGTGCTTGCCAGGGAGGCGCTTGTGCCACTGAGCTATCTCCCCAGCAGCACTTTGTTTCTGGAAATACATCTTAACCAACCTGCAGTTCTTGGGAAAGAGGAGATAAAAGGCCACTTGAATTCATCTCAACTATGTACTTAGAAGGAAAAATAAAGTTATTTCAGGTAACTACGTCATTCACCATGTAACACATCAAAAGAACAGGAGAAATCAGTCCAAATCTAGTAAAGAACACATCTTACCTCCTAAATCCTGTAATTAGGCTTCCTCTCAGAGAATTAAGTGACAAAGGCAATGTATTTGATTCCACTGCAAAAGAAAACAATCACAAAATAAATCTCAGATAAGCAAAACAATCAAAAAACCCTGAATTACCAACTTATTTGCACATTTTACTGATGATACCATTCAACTTTCAGTTGAGAAATTGAAATTTAAAAAATGAAAATGTTTCATATAAAAGTAATTACATAATGTAGCTGGGTGTGGTGGCGCATGCCTGTAATCCCAGCACTTGGGAGGCTGAGGCAGGAGGACAGTTGTGAGTTCGAGACCACCCTGGGCTATAAAGTGAGCTTAGAGCCAGCCTGAACTGCATAGCAAGACTCTGTCTCAAACACACACACACACACACACACACAAATTAATTATATAATATGGTAATACAGTTGTACCTTGGTTCACGAATGGTTCTGTTTGCACACTATTTGGTCACAGGCAGAAGCATTTGGCAAAATTTTATTTCTGTTTGCAAACTCTGCATTGGGTGTCAAACACAACTGTGGTCATCTTTCCCACACAAACACAAATGTGGCCATCTTTTCCAAAATCATAGAACACATTAAGTTTGTGAACCGAGGTACTACTGTACATGACTGTAATATACACCATACTTTTAAAGCATTTTTCTTCATTTTCATGATATAAACATATAAACGATAATGGTTAGTATGTCGGCATACTTGAATCGTGCTGCTACACATGTGAGATCATCTGTTCCTGGACACTATAACACCATGGAGAAACACCTGTGGTGACTTGTCCTTTAAAGACAGAAGGTGGGAACGTACTTTCATTCTGAGACTATTGTTGGGTTCTGCTGAACCATTCCCACTTTCTCATCCCATGTTTCACCATGATCAAAGGCTTAATAAAATCATGTCCTCATCTCTTTTATGAAAGAGATTTGTATTAATCTTTTACTTTTCTTAGTATTTTCTATATTACTTATTTTGTCATTTAATGGTCAACAACCTTCATGTTTCTATATTGATGGCTGCAATTTATTTTTCTCTGCAATTTTATTATAACGGTATCACGTTGTAAGTAACTGACTTAATCTTTTCACTATAAATGTAAAAGTAGCTTCTGAATGATACAAGGTGAGTAGAGTAACAGAGAAATCCACAGTAGAAGTAAATTCTGAAGACAGTACTTCTTAAGTAAAACTTAAAATACATGGTTTAATTTTTTTAGAAAACAGAAGGGAGGAATCACAATCATTTTAATATTTTTTCCAACTCACTTAAATATAAATAAAAAATTACACATAAAAATTGTTTTAGATCAACTGTTACATCACTTGAACAAGGAACTTCAGTTTCTCAGTGACTGTATAGCACTTAAAAACTTAACACATAATTTTTAAAATGACTTATACTTAGTCATTCAAGGAATTTTAAAGTGGATGCAACCACACGCCTCTGATCACCTTTAATTCTGGTTCATCAGTTAACTGACCATGCCTACAGATGTACGTGGGAAGATGTGTCCTAATAACACACACAAACCTGAGCAAGAAAACCCATCCTTATGATGCAGTAACCAACAGCGCATGCCTAACAGCTGCATAACGCAAGCAGCAGCCAGCACAGAACTAACTGTTCTTCAAAGACCCGTAAATCCAAGCGGGAAGGAAAGCTACTGACAGGAAGAAGCGCTAATATTCTTTAGTCTGACTGTCTGTGGCATTTTCCTTTTTCAAATTTAATAAACATCTTCTTGAAAATGTATTTTTGTACTATTCAAAATAGTATTTCACAGAATACTGTCAAGTTGTTTTTTTTTTTTAAATCTTAAAACATCTCAGCAAGCTGGAAGGCTGCTGACAAAAAGCATCTAGTTTCCTTAGTAACAAACAAGTTGGAAAAACCAAGAGGTTGACAGTAAGGTGGAACAGATGGTATGATAAAAGGAAAAGGCAGCTCTCGTGTGGGCACCTTAAGAGCCCAGACTCCTGTGCTAATGCTTCTGTTTTCAACTTGTCAGTATGGAAAAATCTACGTATTATACAGAGCGGGGCAAAATCAACACACTCAGAATGCAGCCAGCATCACTACACAACCTTTCACTCAAATAACTGCATCTCTAACAGTCCTTATTTTCATACTGGATACTGTGCCTTCCCCTTACAATAGTAACTATTTAATTAATGTACTAGTTTCAATGACATATACACACGTAAAAATAATTGTGGTTTTACAAAGCTTCTCTCTACACAATTTGACTATGCATTTATTACAGATTAACTTTTAACATCTTAGGGAGATATAAATTGGTGTGTTTGTGGGTTTTGATTTCAAATGATGTACTTTTCACAAGAAACAAAAACTCAGCAAGTAACATGACAGTTATGTCAAAAAAGAAAGACTTTAAGGAACATTTTATTTGTCAAAAATAAAATGTGCTATGGTGAAAGGATTACGTCAGAAGATGTTGCTTTTGTCTCAAAGCATTCTTAACTACTTTGGACAAATCATTTAACCTCACTATGCCTTTCTTCATAATAGATGTTAAATTACAGGTGTCAAGAATTTTCATCAATAAGGTCTCATCCAATTTTCACAACACCTCTCACAAGACAGGTAGCACTATCTCAATTTAAGGAAACTGAAGCAGAGAGGTTAAGAGACTTGCTCCAGGTCACCTATCGGCTGCTGAATTATATGTGGGACTTGAGTCTCCCGGTAACCGGCCCAACTTCCACTCTTTTATCACCATATGTTACCTCCAAGGTCCTTCCAAATTAGAATACCTTCCAATTATCCCCATGTTTCAACTGGCAAAATGGCTTATCCGTGTACTTTAACAAGATATACAAATGTCCTTGTTTCCATTACATGAACTACCTTGCACTCCCTCATAGTAACTGAAATCAAGACCTGTCAAGTTTACCGCTAATGGCTCATACTTACAAAATGATAAAACAAAGTTTAAGTTCCCTTTCATTGCTTCGCTTCTCATTTCAGCTACACCAAGCGAGTTATTTTTAGGTACACAGTTGTTTTCCTAGAAATAAAGCATGTGTCAATGAAAATATGCCTCAATTTTGATACATCGTATCAGTTTATTTCTTGAATATTTCTTTTTACCACCATACTCTTTGATAATCTACCACTTAAAAAACTTCTACAGCCGGGCGTGGTGGAGCACGCCTGTAATCCCAGCACTCAGGAGGCTGAGGCAGGAGGATCATGTGACTTCAAAATCAGCCTGGGCTACAAAGTGAGCTCAAGGGAAGCCTGAACTGCATAGCGAGATTCTGTCTCACAAAGACCAAAAAATTAAAAAAAAAACTTCTCCAAAAATACATAACTAAATTTGGCAAAAGCTTTGAGACAGAGTTCTAACACTTCAAATTAAATGCTCATCCAATATACAGATAATTTGATATCCTGAGTGTTTTCTTTCTAGGAAGAGTGTACTGTTGAAGACACAAGAACAATTCTCTCAACAAAAATTCAATGAATACCCCAGGCATGGTGACACATGCCTGTAATCCCAGCACCCAGGAGGCTGAACCAGGAGGATCAACCTGAGTTCAAGCCCAACCTGCGTTATATAGTGAGACCCTGTTTCAAAAAACAAACAAACTAACTCAATGAATAGAACTAAGAAGAGATTTTGGAATTTGCAGTGACTTTAACTCCAAGTATGTCACCACTTGCCCCATTGTTAATTGTTTAATAATTTAAGTACATGAACTAAAATTTCACACAAATATATTTATTGAATCATTTTGTAATAGCACAGTATGAAAAAATGCATAGACATTAATAGGCAATCAATAAAAATAATTACAGTAAAAAAAATAATCATTGTACTGCCATACAATAAAACAGCACACACATAAAAGAGAATCTGTAGAATTATATATTGCTAATGGGAAAGTATCAAACGGAAAGTCACTGTAATTGTTGCTAAGAGATTTAAGCATATTAACATGTGAAAGAATACAAGTTTTAAGCAAAAATGACTTGAGGAACCACGGATGAGTTGTATAATCTGAACATTAATATTTTCTAGTTTATTAGTGAATATAGATTGTGTACTTTTTAAAAGATTTGTATATTTTTTAAAGATGACGAATAAATTTTTTTTAACATACCCTAAAAATAAAAAAGCACATCACCTGAGGATATTATAAATATACAAATGTATGTAAAATACTAGTATTTTTACAAAGCTTTAGAAGATCATATACATATGAGCATATGACCAGTCCTTAGCTCGACAACTTTTTTTGGTAGTGGGAATTAAATAAATCTAGGGGCTTTTGTACTGAGCTCCATCTTCTGCCCGTTTCTAAATTTTGAGATAGGGTCCCACTAAATTTCTAAATTGCCCATACTGAGATAGAACTTGTGATCCTTCTGTCTCAGCCTCCCACTCTGCTGGGGTTACAGGCATGCAGCACAACATCCAGCTTCACTCTAGCATTTCTGAACATTTAATAAACATTTGTTACACTTTTGATGAAGAAAGCCTAGGAGAAAGCTTTATTTAACTTATAATAGACGTTACGTTTAGAAAGCTTTTTTATTAACAAGATCTTATCTGATTCATAATACTGTACCTCCCACAAGGAAGACAGGTAGCACTATCCCAATTTAAGAAAACGGAAGCCAACAGGTTAAAAAACTTACTCAAATTTACTGCTAATGGACACTTATAAAATGATAAAACATTAAAAAGAAAGATAGTCTCTTCAGTTATACAATTAAGTGAAAGCCACTCGGGACCCCACCTGTCTCTTAGGAGCTATTCCTATTCCCCCTTCCTTTTCCCCAATAAATTTTCCTACCCTTAAAAAAAAAAAATTATACAGTTAAAACCACACTTGTACTCACCTGCAAAAGAGCACGTACTGCTGTTACACTGTCAAAGGATGGAAACACATAACTTATATATGTTTCTGGATCAGGCTCTACACCCACTTCCTGCATTCTTTTGAAGACATCAACTATACCTGTTAAAATACAAAAATAAAAGATTTGGAATAAATTAACAAAAGATCAGAAAGTGCAGTTCAAATACTTTCTATGGGATAATGTAAGAAAATTACTCAGCATTTTATCTAACAGAGAAAGCAAGAAAGCAAGGCGACTGGGAAAAATGATGAGAAACAAAAATTAATTCTTCCTCTCTTCACCCTCCTCTATTAGTGAGTACTAAGAAACTGTCCTTGTAGCGGCTGGGTGTGGTGGCACACCCCTGTAATCCCAGCACTCGGGAGGCTGAGGCAGGAGGATCATTGTGAGTTCGAGACCAGCCTGAGCTACAAAGTGAGCTCAAGGCCAGCCTGAACTACATAGCGAGACCCTGTCTCAAAAAGACAAAAAAAAACCCACAAAAAACAAAAACAACACTGTCCTTGAAATTATGACAAGAAAATTTAAATCAATTAAGCAACAGGCCTTACACTTCGAGTACCCCAAATAAACAGTGCTTAGAAAACATCAGCATCGCCAGGTGTGGTGACACGTGCCTGTAATCCCTGCAGTTGGGAGTAAGACAGGAGGACCGCTGCAAGTTCGAAGCCAGCCTGGGCTACAAAGTGAGTTTAAGTCCCAGCCTCAACTACAGAGTGAGACCTTAGCTCAAAAAAAACAAAGTATAAAAGACATTAACATAATCTTAGAGCAGTGAGGACTTATAGAGTAAAATTTGACAAGAATAAATGGGGCAGTAGAAAAGGACTGTGAGAATGGAATAAGGGGCATCTGCCAAAAATACAACCAGTTTCAAGAAGTGTGTTTAATAGGCATTGCTGGCACATGTCTATAATTTCAACAACTTGGAAGCCGCGGCAAGAGGATCGCAATGCTAGGCAACTTCATGTCTCAAAACAGTATAGGGCTGAGGGTGTAGCTGAGGGCCATCGGCCATGGCACTCCCAGTTCAAATCCCAATATCACCAAAAAAAAAAAAAAAAAAAAAAAAACCAAAGAAGTCTCAATTAAATTAAGTAAAAAAATTCTGTAACTGTTACTAACTTCTGACTTCATATTTTACAACTTAAAAACAAAAAATGAATAGAGAACAACTGATTCTAATGATTATCTCATTGCATTTAAAATTAAAGGGAGGTGATATAAGTCAGTGGCAGAGCTCTTACCTACTGGGTTCAATCCCCAGTAAATAAAATACAAAAAAATAAATAAAAGAACTTAAAAGTTTAGACAATTGTTCCTTCCACCCCAACCCACAAAAATATCTTCAGTAACTTCTTAAAATTTCACATTTTCCAAAGCCACAATTAACTTCAAATAGTACAAACTGGTTTCCTGGTGTTAGACTCAATTAATTCTAGAAAACTAATTACTCAGGTATCACCTAATTTCACAGAGGCCACAGTTTAGTAAAAAGGACATATTTACTGTCCTTTTTAAAATTTACCACTTTAGTTGTATTACTTTCTCATTATTAAAACTTCCTGTCTGTTTCTGACCTATACTATCCTTATAGAAAAGCTGCATTTCTGTAAGTTTGTTATATAAAGCACTACAGAACAAATAACTGATTATAAATGCCCACTGAGTACAGAAAGATACAGGTAAGTCTATCAACATTATTAAACATCTGCACATTTTTATAGATAAAATTCAGATTATGGATAGAATATTTTAACTGTGATAAATTCAACCTATGTAAAATTACCTAATATTACATAAAAACAAACAGATCAATGAACAGAACAGAGAACCCGGAACACAAGTACATACAGTTAAGTAATTTCTGACAAAGGTATCAAGAATACAATGAAGAACAATCTCTTCAATAAATGGTGCTGGGAAAACTGAATATTCACATGCAAAAAAATGAAACAGGACCCTTATCAAACATCACACACAAAGGTCAATTCAAAATGAAATAGGATTTAAATTATAATATACAAGTGTGGCTCTGTTGCATAAGGGATAGCGCATTGGACTTCTTCTAAATTATAATCTATAAAAGAAGCCCAAAAATTCCTAGAAGAAAACACTGATCTTACCAATGATTTTTTAAATATAATAGTGAAGCACAGGCAACAAAAGAAAAAATAAAGTCAGATTACAACAAACTAAAAGCTTCAGGAGGCAAAAGAAACAACAAAATGAAAAGGCAACTATAGAGTGGGAGAAACTATTTGCAAACTATGTATCTGCTAAGTATATATATCCAATACATTTAAGGAAATTATACAACTCAATAGCACAAAAAAAGAAAAAAATTGTCAAGTGGGCAAACAACCTGAATACCCATCTTTAAAGAAAACACACAACTGGCAATGGGTTTACAAAGAAATGCTCAACATCACTAATCCTCAGCAAAATAAAAATCGAAACCTAATGCGTTACATCTCACGCCTGTCAGAACAGCCGCTACTGCTTTGGGGATGAAGCTCAGCCTTAAAGTACCTGCCTAGCATGCACAAGATCCACCTTTTGGCCCCCAGCACCACCAAAAACAAACAAACGAAACCCGAAAATGACATTTATTAAAAAGCAAAAAATGCTGAAGGGAATCTTAGCACCCCACTGGTAGAGATGTGAATTGGTTTGGCCTTATGGAAAACATTATACAAGTTCTCAAAAACTTACTACTATGTGGCAGGTTAAACGGCTGAGCAGCATATGCTCCTGCTCCTGCCTGGCCAACGCAAGGCCCTGAATTCAATTCCCCAAACACACAGAAAAATGTTTTAAGCCGGGTGTGATGCCTCACACCTGTAATCCCAGCACTTTGTGGAGGCTGAGGCAGGAGCATCATTGTGAGTTCAAGACTAGCCTGAACTGCATAGTAAGACTGTCTCAGAAAGAAGAAAAAAAACCTACTATGTGACCCAACAATCCTACTTTTGGCTAAGTACCCAAAGGAGATAAAAATGCTATCTCAAAAAAATAAAATACCTCAAAAAAAAAAATCCATGTGTACTGCATCATGATTCACAGTAGCCAAGGTAAGGTAACAGTAACAGATGGGAAAAGAAAACACCACAGGGCCAAGAATGCAGCTCAGTGGCAAAGGGCTTCCTCCGCACGCAGAGGCCCTGGGCTCAATCCTCCGCACGAGAGGAAGAAAAAGGAAAACATATGTATAGTATATGTACACATATAATAACACACGGCCTTTAAAAAGAAGTCTCACAATTGGCAGCAACACGGGTAAAGCTGAAGTAATTACACTAAAGGAAGTCAGTCCCACACAGACACCTTGGAGTCATGCACAGTTTAATGATTTTTCCGTCAATGACCGATTCTACAGTGGTGGTTCCATAGCGTTATAATGGAGCTGAAGAATTCCTATCACCTGGAGATTCTGTACTTACTGTGCTGCAACTGCCTGAAGGGTTCAGTACTGTCATGCTGTACAGGTTCACAGCCTAGGAGCAGAAGGCTGTAACATTTAGCCTACATCTGTAGTTGGCTGGATTTTTGTAAGTAAAACTCGATAATCTTTGAACAACGATGAAAATATGAAGCAACACATTTCTCAGAACATATTCTCAACATGAAGTAACACGTGACTGCACAACGTGCTCTCACATGTGGAATCTAAAAACATGTTGAACTCAGTTGGAGGGAACAAAGTGTGTATTACAAGGACTGGGGTCTAAAGGAAAAAAATACATTCGTCAAAGAATATAAACGTGCGGTAATGAGTAAGTCCTGGAAACTTAACTACAGCATGGGAACCACAGTTAACACTGCCCCACGTCCTTGAAATTTTTAATAGTTCCTTATATGACGGATTTTCTAAGGTCTGAAAACAGGTCAAATTTTTTGCAGATAAAAGATTCTTATTCCTCTAATACTTCATTCCATCATCTATGCCTTAAATAAATTTCATTCAATTCTTCACTCTTTCAAAAATTTTATCAGGGGAAGAGTACATCGTACTCATGTGGTCCGTGTTGCTGAAATTTTTAAGATACTTAAATTTCTCACACTAGGCATGGTGGTGTACACCCCAGCAGTCAGGAGGCTGAGGCAGGAGGATCCTTGCGAGTTCAAGACCAGCCTGGGCTACAAAGTGAGCTCCAGGCCAGCCTGAACTGCATGGGAGATCCTGCCTCACAAAGAGATAAATAGAAACATAGATAGACAGACAGATAGATAGATAGATAGACAGACAGACAGACAGATAGATAGATAGATAGATAGATAAGATAGATGGCTAGATAGATGGCTAGATGGCTAGAGGGATGGATGGATGGAGGAACAGACGGACAGACGGACGGACAGACAGACAAATTTCTCACAGAAGCTATAGCAGACTTAAGAAGCCTGGGCTCAACCACACCCTTGGCTCAGATAGTCAGTCCTTTCCTCAGGCTTCCTCTGGTAACTTCACAAACTACTGTAGGATCAGACGAAAGGATGGAAACATTTGTGAATAAAGGAAAAGGTGACTGACCTAAGCTGGTAAACTGTCATTAAAAAGTGTATTTCTTTCTAAAGCAGAAGATAAAAATAGTATGAACTTAGGTTAAAAATGGGATTCCAAACCTCTGTGAACTCTAGAAGTCTTAAACAATCTAATGAAAATATTTCAATGTACCATGAAGAAGTTTGTAAGTCTGGAGGAAAGACTCCAGAAAAGGAAGTGTGTAAGCTTTAAAACAGTTTCAGCTGTTGACAGAGATCTACCTGACAACTTCTACCAACTGTGACCGTCTGCTCCCTATGACCTGCACACTCTACCCACTCCACTCACTTTATCAGGAGATGAAGTTTCTTTTAGATAAATAAGTTGCTTCTATTTTACCACTTCATGCAAATGGCATTTAGGCTTTCAGATCAGTCCTTCTTTATGTATGGTTCTCTTTTCATATTCTCATTTTTGTCTGCTAACTATACTAAAGGCTGTAGATCCCTCCTCATTCTTGGCTACTCTTGTTTATTCAACTTGCTGAAAATGCATTATTCTAAATGGTGACTTACATGGGTGTGGTGGTGCATGCATGTAACCCTGGCACTCGGGAGCCTGAGGCAGGAGACCACCCTCCATTTCAGGTTAGCCTAGGCTGTATAGTGAGTTCAAGGAGACCTAAACTGCAGGTGACTTTTTCATTTGTGCCACAGAGCAAAACACTAGTAAGATGAACCATGAACAAGTCATTCTAAGAATCTTACTTAGAGGCAGATGATGGCTAAATCTGCAACCAGAAAAATTTAACAGAAATTTGATCATCCTATTGTGGAAAATTATGAGTTTAATTTTATCTGACCCTAAATATCTTTCTTTGATTTCCCCAAGCATTTTATGTATTTTTTATTAAATATTCTTGCACATCCTCCATCACTTCAATCATTATCTTTTCTGTTATTTCTAACAATTGATAGATGACTTTCACTGGACAAAGATTAAGTCCACTATACTAAAAAAGAATGTTAAAGTATAGAAACTACCTATAACCATTCCCTTTTTCATGAAAAATCACAGAATACATATTTCACTATTTGCAGGATCCCCTCTAGGAGAACATAAGGTTTTTTAAAACTATAAAACAACTGACAATCTCTTGTACTCTCAAGTCATTATTTTTCAACAAAGCACAACCTTCTGTATTTTTCCAGGTAAAATTTTCATTGAGTAAACAATTCAGTAACTCTTTTTAAAATGTTCTTGGGCTGGGGATTTCGCTCAGCAGCACAGCTCCTGCCTGGCAAGCAAGCGCAAGGTCGTGAGTTCAATTCCCAGTACCGGGAAAAAAAACGAAAAAAACAAACGAACAAAAAAACCCCTAAAATGTTCTTAACATAAAAAGTGGTACCTCACTTCTCAAGGCTAGCTAAGAATTTTTATAAAATAAATACAGCGTAATATTTACACAAATCTACTATAAAGGTACAATGGTATAAAAAAATATTTAAACAAGACAGAAATCCTCCATCCTATTCCAGCACAACTGACAGCTAGACTGCAGAACCTAAGGTCAGTCACTGCCAGGCATGGTGGCGCACACCTGTAATCACAGCACTGGGGAGGCTGAGGATCATTACTAGTTCAAGGTCAGCCTGAACTACAAAAAGAGCTCAAGGCCAGTCTGCACTGCATAGCAAGACCCTGTCTCAAAAAGACCAAAAAAAAAGAAGAACCTAAGGTCAGTCACTGAACCCCTCTACAGTCCTCAGTTCTGTCATTAATATAATGTGTGCTTTCGACAAGGTAACTCTGAAATCTAAATTCTTAGATTCTAAGAAAGATGGATTCAAGATAAAGCCCATTTTCTGCTAGTTCAACTAGTAACTATGGAAATAACCTAAATTCTTTTATGTTTACTTAGTAGTAATAATATAGTAGCCAATTCAAATCTGGATACCATGATATGGTTGAGCAAAGCAAATTTACCTGATAAACATTTCAACAGAGCACCAAAAGTTATTTTCACACTTGTGTAAAGTAAACAATGCTACTATGCACAAAGAATTTGATAGAACGATGTAAACTTTCTGTGCTTCAAAAACACTGGGCTGAAGGTTACCTCTTGCAGCTTTCAGAACTAGAGGATAGACAAAGAGTTAATCAACTAGCATATTGTTTTCATAAAGATTTTTCTAAAAAGGATTTAGAGACTTTTATAGCCAGAAACAATTAGGGAATACTTGTTTCACTATTTCCTTTAAACCAGAAGACAGCTATATATTTAAAATAAAATTGCAATATGAAAGTCTGCTAAAAGCACTTTTTTTGTTGTTTGTGCATTCTGTTTGTCACCCAATGTCACACTAACAACTCTGCATCTCATTCCAAAGCGCATTATACTGTGAGATAAAATGAAAAAGACCATTTTTTGTTTCCCCAAGGGGGGAAGTACTTCTCTTAAAAGCACCTTTTTATGAGACTACTCTTTCTGAATTACCAATAATGCAAACCAAGGAATTAGATACTGTACTCTAAAATTTAGTATTTGTTCAATTCTTATTCATATCCTATAGACATCCCCTGTGTACAAGGAAAAGTATGCTAAATGCTTCAACGTACTTAAGTACCTGAAAGATTGAACATTTCTGTTCTTCAATCAGTAGGCTGTCAGGTCATGAGCACTCATTTTGCAGTAAAAGTTTTCTTGTTTTTCCTATTATTGTAACTAAGCTCAGTTAAGAAGAAACTGGTCCACAAAGAAAATGGTCACACTTTGTTTTCATGAACCAGATTACATATAACTTTCTTAAGGTTAGACAAAGCAATTTTAAACACTAAGGAGTTTTTAAAATAATGTACTACTGTTTAAAACTAGACCCACAAGTTTGAATACCAAAATCAAAAATGAAATAATATTAACAAAATTAAGATGAAAGAAATCTATTTAAATGTTTACAAAATACTTCACTATGATTTAACACCATGTCACACTCACGCAAGATCTAATACTCATGAGTAAGTACACTTGCCCAAAGAACTCAATCCAAGGAACACACGAACTCCTGCATGGCTCTCTGAACCATTATACATCAAAACACAGCAAAACCTAACCTTGAACATTTCTTTCCTTCTGCTGTCCAACTAGCAAAGGCCAGAAATAGTGAATTCTGACAGGAAAACCTTCTTCTTTCAAAGCCTTCATTAGAGCTGTTGCCAAATCTGGAAGAGGTAACACAAAATATTAGCCAGATAACCTCAGCAAAACACATCCACGTTTGTTTAAATTAAAGCAATACAGTACCGGCTTTATTGGCTTGTAAAGCATAGTAGAGTGTTAACTGCAAAGGAGAACTATGCATCTGGGCTTCCTTTAACTTCTTACAGTAGTCTGTCAGTTTCTCTACAGGCTGAGGAAAAGAAACTTGTATTGATTACACTGGCAAATATCCTCCACTGGACCTCCTGAAATATTCTACCACTTTGGAGATGAAAATTTTGAACCTCTTATCCTTTTTGTACTCAAAAATCTTGCAACACAAATACACATTCATATAATACTTACAATTAGTCTAATCTGAAAAATCTTGCAACACAAATACACATTCATATAATACTTACAATTAGTCTAATCTGGTAACATTTCATATTTTTAAACAATCTTATTTTATTGCCAATTACACCATATACAAAGAAAAACTAGACAGGATACCGTATTCATGGTCACACAATGTCGTAAAAAGAAATTCCCAAAGTCATTCTGATTCTCTTCCTTTGATACAGGACATGCTAATAAAACTTGCAATGCTGTATCTTCCAATTTTTCAGTGACTAAAAGCAAAATGAGGTTTATTGCATCTGCAAAGAAAACAATGACATCTTTTGTTATTAAATTGAGCAGTATTTTCACATGGCAATCGTTACTAAAGAGCAAATTAGGAATTGCAAATACCAAAAGGATATGTCTGCCTAACTAACAATAAAACACTTTCAAATAAAAACATCCCCATGCCCTTATCAACTCGTATTTTTCAGCTTAGTAAGCCAACTTCTAAAAAACTTAGATTCACTGACCACTACCTACTATTGTTAGGGTATGCTCTTATACCATGTAAGAAACAGCAATTCATATTTGTATAGAAATGATATAAATCAAAAAAAATTTTAAATACCTGGAATATACCTTCTTTCATAGGTAAGTTTTTCTAAAATTTCTGAGACATACTGAGGATAACCAGCTTTACTGAAGCTAAAGATAAGTTGCAATAAATCACGGTCCGTGAGGTACAGATCAGAATTCTGCGCCTTCTCCAGGGTCTACACAGTTGCAGAAATTAGAACAAAAGTTAGAAACCAATGTTTCTGTAATTATTAAAGCTAAATAAATTGTCAATATTCAAAAACTTAGTAACGAACAGCACCAAAAGATTTAGAACTTTTTTATTTTATTTTCAGCATTTTTTAATTAGTCCATGTTTGTAGTACACTAGGATCACACTCCTCGTGGGGAGTTGGTCTACCTACACAGCACAGCTTCATTCTTTTCTCATCTCTTTCCCCTCCTCTCCCTCCCCTCTCTATCTCTGTCCCCTTCCCTTTTAAAAAAGTTGTACCTCCCAGTACTTTTATTAAAAAGGAAATATTTTATTTCAGTAATAACTGTCACACATCAGTATCAAGGTACCACACAAAGAATTTGCCTTAAGTACTACTCAATATAATGAGACAGCTCTAAAAACAGTAGTGCGCTTTTCTGCTTAACGTAGAACACAAGTTTATAAGAATGATTTTATTTATGTGACGAAAGTCATACCTGCTTTACATGATCAATGTCACCCTTCTCAGCATATGCGTTCAATAAGGCTAGGTATGTGTCTGGACCAGGCTCAATTCCAGCCTCTCTCATTACTGTGAGAATATTTTCTGCATTCTCCATATCTCTACAAGTTAATTAAAAAAACAAAGTAGATTACTACAATACTACCAACACGATAAAATTATTCATGATAAAATGCATTAGCAGTTAGGTGTGGTGCCACACTCCTGCAAGCCCAGCACTTGGGAGGCTGAGGCAGAAGGATCACTGAGTATGAGGCCAGCCTGGGCTACACAGTGAGCTCAAGGCCAGCCTGAACTGCACAGCGAGTCCCTGTCTCAAACAACAAAACAAATAAGTTATCGGGTTTTTCTAAATCAACAATTTTAAGTACTTGAATTATTATTCCACACAAAAGCAGTCATTAAACTGATTTAATAATCTGAATAAAGATCAAAAAGACCTGAGTATATTTTTTTCAACGCTAGGGATTAAACCAAGAGCCACAAGCATATTAGACAAGCATTGTACACCACTGAGCAGAATCCCCATCACTAACATCTGAAATTTTTATATGTAATTTTCCTCCCCCAATAAATGATACGCTACTTAGACATTAAATATTGTACACTACCTTATTATATTAAATGTTATGACTCAGATCCATTGACCTTATTTAAGAATAACATTTGGCAAATTCCTCACGAAAAATAAAATAAAAATATTTTATTTCAGATCAAGCTGAATTTTTTTCCTTTCTCAGTACTCATAATTGGATCGAGGGCCTTGGAAGTGAACTACATCCCCATGTCTTTTAATTGTTATTCTGAGAAAGGGATTCACTAAATCACAAAGTTGCCCATGCTGGGCTAGAACTTGAAATCCACCTGGTTTAGCCTCCCAAACTGTTAGGATTACAGATGTGGGCCACTATAGCCAATTTAAGGCCAATTTTTTAAACTGATTTCAAATACAAGTTTTGTACAAACAAGAGCAAATTATTAAAATACCAGTATATTCTAGCTCACACTCCAGATCTATTTTGAAGTGCAGATAAAAAGTTATTTGAATTTTCTATAATTTTTAAAGCTTAAAACCTTGGTCAAGAACCAAAATCTTAGGTGGAATATTACCCAGCTTTTGCATGCCCTGTTATAAGAGCACTGAATACTGCCTCTGTAACTGGAAGGTCCTTAGTTTTCATAAATTCAAGAATCTTGCTGCAAAAAAAGAGAAATGACATTCCTTAGAAGTATACCAAAAGCATCTTTCAGATGTATAAATCAGCCCTAGAGTTATGCTTATTCATTATAACAACACACGCTTGTTTTAAAAACTACAAAATAGGAACTGATCCCCTTTCCATGAAACCCTACTCTTTGAAGCATCAGTAATGTTGAAGGGCTCTTCTTAGAGTAGGCAGTCTTAGTAGGTAGTCTTTCTTAGGTAGTCTTTAAAAAGCAATTTGCTCTGCATTATTAATTAAATATTAAACCTTTAAAAAGCATGGTTTATTAAGACATTTATTTAAAAATAAAATTGTACATTTCAATCTATCCCTTAGCTCAAAGCCTTCAATCCAAAAGTGCCAGTAAACTGCACAGAAGCAGAGAAAGGTTGCAACTGATTGTATGAATCAGTGAGACAAATTGAGTATTCTCAGTTTTATAAATGAACTGTTGAAATGGCTAAAAACATTGCCCTTAGAAAAAAATTTTAAACAGATGAGAAGCCACCTTTAGTATCTCAAGAATTTCAAAGCCCTGCTCCAATAAACAGCAATGTTTTTCATTAAAACAGCAATTTTTACCTGGCTTATCCTCTTATGCTATAATTTTACATTTTTATCTAACTCACATTACCAAATTTGCTACATTAAATACTTCTGAAATAATTACCCTTATTAAGAAGACACTTTAAAAATAAGCAAAATATATATAGTCTAGCTTTACAAAACTTACAAATTTGTTTGCATATACACCTACAAGTACTGCTCCATACCTGGCACCTTCAATGTCTCCTACATTACAGTAAGCAGCAATCAGTCTCTGATAGGTCACCTGCCAATGAAATGGGTTGGTTAATTTTTCTTTTTAGTATTTTTTGTGAGTTTTTAAAAAAGCATGTTGGGAGAGATTTGAAAACTGGATATACACAGTAGTATCTACGTACTCGATTTGGCTGAACGTTTGCTTCCTCCATTTTCGCCAGGAAATCAGTAGGTGAAAATTCGTATCTATTTTGAAGATAGACTTTAAGTAAAGCATTGTAGTGACTCACATCATACACAGTACCTACAAATGAAATTTCAATCAGATTTTTAGACCAACATTTAAAATCATATCCTTTACCACAACTGAAGTAGTGTGTACCTAAATTTCTAAAATTTTACTATAGCACTTCACCCATTTATCTTAACACATACAAATATCCTACCAGAACAGAGCAACTTAAGATGTAAGACATAATAACTGAATTACTGTACAGTTTACCTGTAACTGCCTGTTCAGATATTGAACAGATCTCTTGGTTACAAGGCACACGGTGCTTTCTTCCTGGTAGAATGTTAACAATACTTCTATATTTAAGTGACTGAAAGATTTTCCTATATAAAGCAGCCCTTACCATGTCACATGTGGACTGTGACATACAGTTCTTTAAAACAAGTAGCACTTTGTTGGCAATTTTTCTTATTTTCTTACCAAGCCACTCAATGGTTTTGTTTGACTCATTCCACCTTAGTTGCTGAGCACTAGTCTGCCAACTTTACCAATTTCTATGCCTATGCCCCTTATCTTCCCTGTGTCCACAAAGCCTAGAGGGCCACATCAATTAAGGCTACCACTCAGGTGTGACACCATAATCATATCTATCTAGACTAACATGTTTCCGTAAGTTCTCATGAATTTAATTTCATGTCCTTATCCATTTGCCTATGACCACAGAGGTCTACCATCATTGGCTGGTGTCAGTTTAGAGATACTAGGCAGAAGAGACTTGTTCTATTAAATTAATACGTGTTTTCATCTTAACAGATATGTAGAATACTCAGGTATAAATCAAAAAACACAGTGTGTATTTAAATTTTAAAAATGTATTACAGGCCAGGGATATAGCTCAGTGGCACAGTGCCCTGCTTGGTTGGCAAGCACAAGGTCCTGAGTAAAATTCCCCGTACAAAAAAAATAAAAATAAAAAGGTATTACAGCCGGGTATGGTGGCGCACGCCTGTAATCCCAGCACTCAAGAAACTGAGGCAGGAGGATCGCTGCAAGTTCGAGACCAGCCTGGGCTACAAAGTGACTTCAAGGCCAGCCTGAGCTGCATACTGAGACTCTGTCTCAAAGTAAAATAAAATAAAAAAATAAAATAAATAAATAAATAAAAGGTATTATAGTGAAAGACATATATTGACATTAACCCCCCTCAAAATGCTTCCCCTTAATTCAAACACACTTAGCCCATTTTCTTGCCGCTTTCTGAAGCAGTTCTGTACGTCCTCTTTTGTGAATGTCTTTAGTTGCACTGTCGTGGCTGCCTCAATGTGCTGAAGAGATTCTAAAACATTTACCTACATTTTGACTTTGAGAAAGAGCCAGAAGTTGCATGGTGCCAGATCCGGTGAATAAGGCAGTTGAGGACACAATGTAGTATTTTTACGAGCTCGCATTCTGATGGATGGCACCTCGCAACAGTAGTCACTATACTTTTGATCACACATCATAAAAACACTCACACAAGAGGATTTCTAGAGCTGCTTCAGAAAGTGGCAAGAACAAAAGGATAAGTCATTCTAAGTGAGGGGGTGGATTATGAGGAAGGTTAATGACAATGTCTTTTACTATAATAAATTCACTTAAACATTCACTGTTTTTCTATCACCCCTGTAGTATGTTTCAGGCACTGCGCACCACACTCCACGTGTAAAAGCTCACCCTTCACAACAGCTTTCAGGCAGGTACTATATTGTCCCCATCTTACACAGGAATACTGACTCCATTTTTCCCAGTGATCACAGACAGGAACATCAGCAGGATGAGCCTTGAAAGCCCAATTACTGACCACTGTAAAATTTTTTATAGAGCCATACAGGGAACCATGTACTAGTAAGTATCTCTTACATGCAACAAGATTTTCATAGAATGTCTGAAATTTTCTTTTAGAAAATCATCCACTCAAGCTGAACTCTAACAATGGTTGGCCACAGCTCCAACGTTGCAGGAAATTATATAATCTTATGAGGGAATGCACTCTTGATTTGTTCCAGAAGCTAAGGAAACTGCTAAACACCCAGCTAAGTAGCACCTACTTTGGCTTTTCATGCATACTTTAGTTAAGATCAGTGACCAACCCAATGCTTACGAGAGATCAACTTCCCTGACATGTTGGTACAAGGCATAATTCCACATGTGCCAAAATGTTTTCATGAACTTCAGTAAAATCTTTATTCCTATATTTACTTATTATGTAACTATGTGCTATATATATGTCTAGTTAATTTCATGAGTCTTAAAAAAGATAATAACAAATCTTTTAATTATTTCTGTAGCATGAATTAACAAAGTTTAGAACTATCTAAAATTTAAAGTAGAAACTCCAACTTTTAGGAATATAAACCTAAAACAGCCTACCTAATAACCAAATCACCTTGCCTTATATATTTTATCTCATGTCCTCAGACTTTAATATGGTCCTGGCTCTGTTCTTCATTACTTTTTTTTTCCTTTTTTTCTTGGTTGTTTTTGTTTTTTGTTTTTTTGGTCTTTTTGAGACAGGATTGCACTATGTGGTTCAGGCTGGCCTTGAGCTTACTTTGTAGCCCAGGCTAGTCTCAAACTCACAACAATCCTCCTGCCTCAGCCTCCCAAGTGCTGGGATTACAGAAGTGCTGCGATTACAGGTGTGCGCCACCACACACAGTTTGTCCATTACTTTTAATGTTTTGATATATTCTTCAATTTCTTCATGCAAAAATGTTGTAAGTTATCCTTCATTTGCATTTATCCTAGACTTATTTTTATTGGTTTGTTTATGCAGACTGGTCTTAAATTCACTACACAGCCCAGGTGGTCTCAAACTCAGTGATCCCCGACTTAGCCTCCAGAGTGCTGAGATTACAGATTATAGGTCTGTAGCACGTTGCCCAGTTTATCCTAGACTTACTTTGCTCAACTTTGAAAGGATGGTCTGAACTATTACTATCTACGGAGAAAGCTAGGTTTCTCACCTAGAAACCTACGCTACTGGTATAATTTTTCTCTCCTATATTTACCACTTTGTGTCTGCCCACAATGAAATTCATCTGTCATTTTTCTATTAACTCAGAGCTTTCAAAAGTATTTCTATATTGGGGCTGGGGATTTAGCTCAGCGGCACACCGCCTGCCCGGCAAGCACAAGGTTGTGAGTTCGATTCCCAGAACCGGGAAAAAAAAATTATTTCTACAGATACATTAATTAGGTTAGTATTTTACAGTTCAGTTCAAGAAAAATGTGACTGTCACTTAAAAATGCAAGCTGTTACTATGTAGTTCTCCTCAGCAAGATCTTACATCTTATACCTATAATAAGAATATCTTTGCATATTTATAAGTATAAATAAAATATGGACCTGCCTTAATATTAATACTTTTTTTTTTTTTTTTTTTTTTTTTTTTTTTGAGACAAGCTTCTGCTATGCAGTTCAGGCTGGCCTTGAGATCACTTTGTAGCCCAGGCTGGCCTCGAACTCACAATGATCCTCCTGCCTCAGCCTCTTAAATGCTGGGATTACAGGTGTGTGCCACCACACTCGGCAGTAGTTTTAGATTTTAACATGGCGAAGAAGCATCTGTCTAGTCTTTAAGGTTTTTTAAAGTTAGGCAATGAATACTGAATTTCATCAAAAGGTCTTCTTAAATTAATTTTTGAACATGTACTATGTTCATATGGTTCAAAGTTGAAAAAGTATAAAAATTGTATGCAATGTTTATCATCCTAGAACTACGTTACTATTATATGCATGTGCATACAAGCAAACAATACTGCTTTCACAATGGTATCATACTATATACATTGTTCTTCACCTTTTTATTTTGAAGAATACCCATTCATCAGTACATGAAGAGATTCTTCACATTTTGAGTTGCACAGTACTCTATTATGAATGCTCCATAACTTATTTAATCCCCCAAGAGAGACATCAGTGTTCATTCTAATTTTTTGGTATTACAAACAAGTTACAAAAAATGCTCTTTTGCACATGTGAGTTTATATGTACCTAAACTCTAACAAATGGAACTGCTTGATCAAATTGTATGAGCAATTTTTACTTTGATAGACCAAATACCTTTCTACTTTACTCTTTATTTTTCACTTACCAAGGTTGTAATACCTGTAACAAAAAAATTATTTTATTCTTAACACCCCTAGATGTCACTATAACTCACCAAATAAAACATTACCAACAAATTATAAACTAAATAGCCCTCCCATAAAACTGAATTATAGTATTTATGTAAAGAAATATTCTTTTACAGAAGGAAAAAATATCTACACCTTTCACATACATCACACACCCCATCATACCCAATTTCTGAAGTTTGTTCCATATTTCATGAACAAAATCTGTTCTCTCTTTAAGACTTATTTCAGGCAAGAGGGAACCACAGCTGCGCAGCAGAAGCAAGGCTTGATTACTACCTGGGTTACCTATGGAAAAATATGAACGAATAACATTTAATGTGATACCAATACCATACAGATAAGTATCAAATTTGAAACTGAAATTTATCAATATACAAAAACCTTCTGGCTCTCACCAAAGATAACATTGAGAGCCTCCATACATTAGAAAACTCTTATCCTTACCAGTTACATTTTTAATATTGGTCTGTTTTCCTAAGAAATCCAAGGTTATAAAATCTATGTAATCTGCATGACTACTAAATACAAAAACAGAAAGCCTAATTTATAAGCAGTGCTTATTGTAATTCAAAGACTAAGTTTCCAGTACCATATAAAAATGACACAAAACCGGGTGTGGTGGCGGTAATCACAGCACTCGGGAGGCTGAGGCAGGAGGATCATTGTGAGTTCGAGACCAGCCTGGGCTACAAAGTGAGCTCAAGGCCAGCCTGAACTGCATAGTGAGACCCTGTCTCAAAAAGACCAGGAAAAAAAAAAAAAAAAAAAGACACAAAGCAGTAAAATTAAAACTTTTAAGTCTCAAATTTAGGTTTATAATCAATTACAAAATAATATAACCTTCCTTCAGGGGCTGGGGATTTAGCTCAATGGCATAGCGCCTGCCTGGCAAGCGCAAGGTCATGAGTTCGATTTCTGGTACCAGAAAAAAAAAAACAAAAAAAAAAAGGGAGATTTTATATATATATAAAACCTTCCTTCTTCCTATATGTACAACCTTTACCTACATGTCCCTCAAAGCTTTCAGACAAAAACACTTATTTATGGTTCCATTTATATGAAATATCCAAAATAGGCAAAGCTCAGGGACAGAAAATACGCTAGTGGTTGATTAAGGCTGGGGTGTCGGAAGTGGGGACCGTTAAAGGTACAAGGGTTTATTTCTGGGGTGATAAAAATGTTCTAGTATTAGCTGCAGTGAGAGGTGAGCAACTCAAACCGAAGTGACAAAAATGTCCTTAAATGTACATAATTGTAGTTATAATTCTTATTTCTTTGATATCCCCCTCATCATCAAATTTTATATCTATGCTTCATAATGTGACTGATATCCATGAATAGGCTTCAGGAAGCCTTACAAATGCTTCTTAAAACTGCATGCAAAAAAAAAACAAACTCCATGCAAAATTATGTGTAATTGCACGCTGACTAGCGGGCGGGGGGAGGGGTTGTGCAGTGAAGTTTCCAAGTTTCCATCGGATTACCAAAGGCAAGAATGAATCAAATTGATTTTAGTAGCTAACTGAAAATAAAAGGAAAATAATGATCATCGGTCTTTCTCAAAATCCTTTCTTACATGATCATTTTAGGGAAAGATGACATTATACAAAGGAAGACATGAAAAATTAGGATCTTCCAAAACAACTGACCACTGAAAGCAACTCTTTCTCATTTTATTTATTTATTTATTTTTGGTCTTTTTGAGACAGAGTCTCGCTGTGCAATTCAGGCTGGCCTTGAGCTTACTTTGTAGCCCAGGCTGGTCTCGAACTCACAACAATCCTCCTGCCTCAGCCTCCCAAGTTCTGTGATTACAGGCGTGCACCACCATGCCCGGCTTTCTCTATAATCTATGGAAGAAAATAAAACTTATTTGCTGATTGGTAGATGAGTTGCACAGATAGGGCGATCACAGTTGTAATTATGTTGTAACTATCATCATCATCATAGTTCACAAAATTGAAAGTAACGAACAATGTATTCTACAACCTTTGCTCCTTAAAAATACTTTTAATTTAAACCAAGATTGGTGGGGCATGCCTGTAATCCCAGCACATGGGAGACTGAGGGAGGAGATCGTCACTTTGAGTTCAAAGCCAGCCTGGGCTCCATAATGAGTTCAAGACCAGCCTGGGTTATACAGCAAGACTCTATCTCAAAACACAAACAGACAAACAAATAACTCCAACTTTTTAAAAAGCTTAATTTTATGAACAGAAAATTTTCAAATACCTGAGTGACACGTTCTATCAAAGACTTTTTGCAAAAGCCGCTTTGTAATACGGCCAGTTTTTCGGACAGAATTATCAAATGTCATTAGTGCCCAATCAAATTGACCAGGATGCCTCCTAGACGAAGTGTTCCTCCTAGAAGTGTTCTCATCTAGAAAATCATTCTTTTCTTCAGCAACAATGGCATACAGCCTGGCTTGGTTCAGTAGCTCTCTAAAAAAAGGAAACATGATTAGACTTAAGTCAATTGCTATCTATCTGGGTCATCTTTTTGAGCAAAATTTATCAAAACTGTGAATGAATTACTAAGTACCTAAAATCACATGTGGTATCAGAAATAGGTGAGTATGAACCAGTAGGAAAGAAAGATTTGACTTTTGCTTTAGATGAGATCACACACATAAACTGTATACACACTGAATTCCCTGAGTAGTTAACAGCACCTTGATAACCTTCGGCACATAATCTCTTCAAACTAAGCTACTAATATGGTGTGTTTCAAATCGCCCTTAACCAAAATGGGTTAGTAGAGAAAAATGAAGCAACTTATATTACAAAGTTCTTCTTGCTTCCATAAATGAGACAAAAGATTTAAAATATACCCCAAATTCTGAGTATAAGGTTATTATAAGTTTAAATTTTAAGTAAGTTTATTTAACTTGAAATAACATTCTTTATAAGCTTAAAATTATATAGTTTCTTCACATGATCATTCAGGCCTAAATCCTTCCAATCTGTCTAAAAAAATGCATACATTTACTTCAAATAATTAAAGCAGCCAATAAGTACACTTAAATATTATATACTAAGTATATAGTAACTAAATGTTTTCAAATAAAACTCCAGGGATTATGGGCAGAGCTCAATAGGACAGTGTGTGCTTAGCCTACACAAAGCTCTGGGTTTACTCCCCAGCACACATACAAAAAAGTTACTCCTTTCCTATCCTGGAAAACCAGTCAAAGGGTAAATGATAACTTATGAAGTTGCATTAAAGGACACACCGTACCAGAGGTTTTGCCACAAGGTGATATAAACAACAGATACTAGACTAGATGATCTACCATTGCGATTTGGAGGAAATCACAACCACTCTATCAGTAATTCCACCTATACAAATAAATGGAAAACAATGGGAAAAATCAGGACACTGTCTAAATAAAACTTTGGGGGTGCTGCTGGGGATTCTATGGCCTTGTATGTACTAGTCAAATGCTCTTCTACTAAGCTATATCCCCAGTACACAATGCCCTATCTTTATAAAAGTAATGATTGGCACACTGTTAGTAATTAATTAAGACTTATGAAATGAGCTGAATAAAGTGCTAGAGCCAGGCATGGTGGTGCATGCCTATAATCCCAGCACCTGGGAGGCTGAGGCAAGAGGATTGCCTCAAGTCTGAGGCCAGCATGGGCTACACGGTGAGTTCAAGGCCAGCCTGAACTACATAGCAAGACCCTGTCTCAAAAAAAATCACAAGAAAGTAAAAGGTAGTATGGTACAGGGGGTAAGAAGCTGGACTCTGGACCAGAAAAACAAATAAAAATTAAAAGTGCTAGATCACTACCTACAGACTACGTAAGATTCATAACCTTCCCAAAGGTTCCTATGGTCATTTCTTCGTTACTGTATCAATTGTTACTAAACTATGCCCTTGTTAGTGTCGGGCAAACACAGAATAATGGCATTTTATATCACCCAGGATAATATGTTGAGTGTGCAATCATACTGCTCAAAAACAAAAGCTGAGTAATACAGAAATTACAAAGTGGTAGTAAAGTATACCTGCCAGATTTTCAACAGTGCAAATGTGGTAAATGTTAAAGAGCACAAAAATAAAAGTTTTTGCTAAATACAGCTCTTTAATGCATTCTCTCTCTCTCTCTCTCTCTCTCACACACACACACACACACACACACACACACACACACACACACAGAGGAGGGGATTGCACCTAGGACTTTCAAACTGATCTACATCCCCAGCCCTTTACTGAGCCAGGCTCTTATTACACTGCTAAATTGCCCAGGCTGGGCTCAAACTTGCAATCCTGCTACCTCAGCTTTCCACAGTGCTGATTACAGGTGTGTGCCACCACACACAGCCTAAAATACAGTCTTAAAATGTCATAAGACAAGCCCGGCGTGGTGGCACACACCTGTAATCCCAACACTCAGGAGGCTGAGGCAGGAGGATCGCTCTGAGTTCGAGACCAGCCTGGGCTACAAAGTGAGCTCAAGGCCAGCCTGAACTGCAGAGTGAGACCCTGTCTCAAAAAGACCAGAAAAAAAAAAAAAGTCACAAGACAAATAAAAAATTCAGCCAGAAGACATGTATACATAACTCTAAACACTGTCAAGCTAATTTTTCTCACAAGTAATTCTTTAATGCAACAAAGTTTCCTCCACACAAGTGTGTACAGAAATTGATGTACTATGTAAGTGGAGTAGGGAAAGGATTACACATTTAACCAAAGGATTCTTTGTATATTAATTACACAGCCCAGATTTTCTTTTTTTTCTTTAACAGTGCTGAGGATGGGCCTTGTGCATGCTAGGCAAGTGCTGTACCACTGAGCTACATCCCTTGCGAGAACTTATTTTGAAATCCATTCTAACATACCTTGAGAGAACCAAGAACTCCACAATGGGCACTCCGTGAGGAAGGCAAAGAAACAACCCAAAGGCTAATGCTAGCTGGCCCTAGGCTTGTACATGTGCAAGTATGCGGCCTCCAAATTCTAATAACCAAAGCTGATGTAACCACAGGAGGGGAAATTAATCATCCCATCCAAGTCTCATAACAGTATCTTCATACTTCTGAGTTAAATGCCTCAGGTTTCTCTCCTAAGACTCTGACACTTACCACTAATATTCAGGATACCCTTGAATTTCCTCTGGTAAAATGTGGCATTTTAAGAACAGATATTTTTCTTTTTTTTTTTTTTTTTTTTTTTAATCAAAATGATGGCGGTGGCTCTTTTACTCTTTTAAAAAAAAAAATTATAGCTGAGTGTCCAAATAAAAGATACAAGGACCAGACTGCTATAAACACACTTCTGCAAAATTTCCATTTTAAGCTTGTATCATTTTCTAAAAATGAACCATTTACTAAAAAGTAGACTAAATTTTTAGAGCATTTCTAGGCCTACAAAAAAAGTACATAAAGTACAATCCCCATACACATTCTTTCCCCTCCAGTTTCCTCCATTAGCATCTAATATTTTTTTGTTTGTTTGTTTGTTTTTTTTTTTGGTTTTTCTTTGGTACCAGGAACCGAACTCACGACCTTGCGCTTGCCAGGCAGGCGCTTTTGCCGCTGAGCTAAATCCCCAGCCCCTAGCATCTAATATTAATGTCCTGTATTTACTACAAATCGTAAGCTGATGTTGGCTACTAGGGTTCATTACTTACAGTAGGGTTCACTTTGTGTGTACACTTCTATAGGGTGGCAAATATGACATGCACCCACCTTTCGGTACAAGAGAGTAATGTCGCTTCCTCCAAAATGCCCTGCGCTCTACCTAGTCATCCCTTTGACCTTCCTTTGGGACCTCTGGCAAGCACTGATTTTTCTGAATGTCTCTAGGGTCTTCACTTTTCCAGAGTGTCACAGAGGTGTACTGTAAAGTATACAGCTTTGGAGGTTTGCTTCTTTAATGCTAACAATAGGCATTTACTGCTCTTCCATGTCTTTTCTTGGTAGAGCAGCTCATTTATTTTTACTGCTGCATAACATTCAATTGTACAGATATACACAGCTTGTTCATCCATCCACCAATTGCAGGCCATGTTGCTGTGCTTCCAGTTTGGGGCAGTATTTGTGTACTTTCTGTGGGGACATAAATTATGAACTTGTTTGGTAAGCCTATGTTTAGCTTTGTAAGCAACTGCCAAATTACTTTAGAAAACAGCTGTACCATTTTACATTCCTAGCAGCACTGAACTACAGTCCCTATTTCTGCACATCCTCACCAGCACTAGCCATTCTGACTACTGTGGGAGATCATCACTGTTTTAATTTATAATTCCCTGACACACGATGATGAACATCTTCTCACACTTATTTGCCAATATGTCATGTCTGGTGAAGTACGTTCAGCTTTTCCACCCATCTTTAAGAGTGGAAATTTTTCTTATTGTTGAGGTTTTTGGGTTTGCTGTTGTTGTTTATTTTTGCCTTTTGTTTTTTTTAGACAGGTTCTCAGTATGTTGCCTATGCTGGTCTTGAACTCATGATCCTCCTGCCTCAGCTTCTTGAATGCTAGGATTACAGGAACGCAGCACCACACCTGGCTTATTGTTGAGTTTCAGAAGTTCCATATTTTTTTTATGGTATCAACTTTTTAAAAAGGCATTATTCATTCCTTTTTAACTCTGAAAATACACCAAACTAATCATACATATTCTTAAACTCTTATTTTTCTCTTTCCCACTGGTATTATGAGCCAGTTTAAGTATCACTTTGGAGCCACCACAGTTGAAAGACGGGGAATATGGATGCAGATTACTAACAGGTAATTACTTATATGTTCAAACTTATCTAGTCACAGTGGAAGGCTCACAATTTTGCAGAGTGGTAAAAATTAAACCTCGACAAGAAAGATCTTCCAGAAGCAGATATGGAAGGAATGTGGACTTTATGAAATGCTTACAAACTGTAAGATTGATTTCCACAGAACTGCTATTTCAGCTTACTGCGTTGTACTATTTGATAAACAGGTATCTCAAATTCACTTTTTATTTTCTCAGAAATCCCCAATTTAACTATTCTATTTGCATTTCTTTTAGCCTAATATACTGAACCATATCAACTGATTTTCAAATGTCAGGCCAGGTTGCATGCCTGTAGTCCCAGTACTCAAGCAGCTGAGGCAGAAGATCATTCCAAGTTCGAGACCAGCCTGGTCCGTAAAGTGAGCTCAAGGCCAACCTGGACTGCATAACCAGACCCTGTCTCAAAAAAAAAAAAAAAAAAGACAGAACAACAACAACAACAAAAAAGCCAGCTTGCACACATGACCACTTGGTTCAGCTGTGTGATCTTTTATACAATGAAAGATCTGCTTGAGTTTTCATGTCAAAATAAAAAAGATGGCCAGGCGTGGTGGCACATGCCTATAATCCCAGCACTCGGGAGGCTGAGGCAAGAGGATTGTTGCGAGTTCGAGACCAGCCTGGGCTACAAAGTGAGCTCAAGGCTGGCCTGAACT